AAGATATCATTACAAAATGAACAAATCTGAGAGAGGTCCACATGTAGTACCTATATATGTAATATCAAAGCATTTGCACTTGCGGTTTTTAACAAGAAGTCGAAAATATCAGTTTTTACCAAAAATGACAAAAATATTCACCAAAATTAGAGAATTGAAGATATCATCACGAAATGAACAAATCTGAGAGAGGTCCACATGTAGTACCTATATATGTAATATCAAAGCATTTGCACTTGCGGTTTTTAACAAGAAGTCGAAAATATCAGTTTTTACCAAAAATGACAAAAATATTCACCAAAATTAGAGAATTAAAGATATCAACATGAAATGAACAAACCTAAGAGAGGTCTACCCAAGGTACATATACACCAAGTATCAAAGCATTTAGGCTTGTAGTTTTCAAGAAGAAGTCGAAAAAGTAAAACATTGACACGGACGACGGACGACGACGACGACGGACAATCACTCATATGATAAGCTCCGCTCGACAAAGTCGACAGCGGAGCTAAAAATGTGAACATCACAAATTTTTTCTAGAAAAAAGAAACAACTTGATTTTTTACACATTTTATGTTTTTAACTTGTTCTGGTAGCGATGCTTCACAAAGTGGTAATGCGTCTTTAATTTTAAAAATAATCTGGCCTTTCAACTCACCTCCTACATTATTTTTATAACTATTATAGATTTCTTTTATCCTTCGATAACGGAATGCTAATTTTCTCATCCAGTCTACTCCACCTCTAACTCCTGTTGCTAAGCAAAGGTTGGCACTGGTAGCCGCAGCATGGAAACCATCTGTGGCAAAATTATATGTACTGAAATGAAAAGAAAAAAAAAATTATTCAGCTTACAAAATTACATCATATATACTTCACACAATGAATAATTACAGGTTTGGCTACCAGAAGTGTAATTTCCATTTTGCAGGAATAGCGCCCTCTATAGTCAATCCATGTGATACTTGCATCAACCTTAAAATTGACCATCCTTGAAAAAAAAAAAGTTCACACATTTTCCAGCCATTTACCACATTTTTAGATGAATCTACCCAACATGCACCATTCACCCCATACCCGAGCAACGCATTTAATCACTTCGTTGACAGTTCCAGGCCTTTTCATTAGTTCCCAATAATTACATTCCTCAAGTCCTTATTGCCTGAACTGTCTTTAAACAGATCGTGTATGCTCTGGAATGACAGCTTGCCACCAATTTACTATTTTTGGGCCTGACTTGTTTGTCTAAATTTGCAATGAACAGTCACCGTTCACCGACTTCGTACAATGACAAGAATGTCAGAGCAAACATTAAATATACGTGTCATTATTGCTATTACCCTGTCACGTTTTACACACAGAAAAATTAGTCCGCTGTCTAGACACAATCTTTCTTGCAAACCACGCGACATAGAGTTCATAGCCAAAAATAAGTCACAGATTAGATTAAAGTTTGTCGCTATCGAAATTGTTTGCGTTGGTAAGCCGATAAACAAATTTATCAAATAATTTGTAGCGACATACTAAATCTTTCGAAAATCTTTACATACCGATGACAAATAACGCAGAGTAGTTTTTGATGGTTGAATGGTTGTTTGTTATGTCTCTACTCCACTTGCTCAAAGATTAGAATAGAAAGGAACATGCCCTCCCCACTTTGCACAATGTTAATAAAATACCTTAAATCTTGGCCATTGTCATCTGACGCCACATCATCAATATGTACTTGGTCACATTCCTATCAGAAGAGAGAAAACGCAAAAGTTCAAAATAACATAAAAAAGGTTTCTTGTCTTACAAGTACTTTAGATATGACATCATCACTCAGACACCACGATGAGACATTATCTGTATTATTTTATCACACAGTGGACGGTGAATTTCTAAATAACAAGTGATATTTATTAGTTGGAGAAAAATACTGTAAAACATGTTGAAAAAGCGACATGCAATTTTAGCAAATTGTGGTAAAATGAGGTAATAGCGAAATGTTGATTTAGCGAATCTCTCTTGTCATTGTTGATTTCCTGTTTTCACAATACTTGTCTGTCGCCTGCCAAAACAAATGCGCAGTTATCACCTCCATAAAAACCAAGAAAAACTGTCAAGTGTAATTAGGAAGCGCCACAGATTTTTATGTTCCGGATTATTGTATACAAATCCCAAAGCCTTGGCCATTTTGAATTTATAATAAAGTCATTAGCGACATCATGAATTAGCGAATCAGTTCTCTTGCTAAATTTGCTAAAAGACATGCTCGCGAAAAAGACATTAGTTTTACAGTAGTTAATTCAAATTCTGAAAATAAAAATAAAGCTTAATTCTGGATTTATCACATGACTACATCAGAAGTATTCGATTCCACAGAAGCTACTGAAAAGTATCAGCACAGTGACCCATTCTATGAAATATTCAAACAGGGAAATGAAGAAATGCCACAGATGGCAGTTTTATAAAAAGTTGCCTTGGTAACACAGTTGCAGAAAATGACAGAATGTCTTCCCTTAGGCAAGGAAAGATAAGACAGACCGAACCAGAAATTGAAATATACAAGAAATAAATATTATAACAATTTTAAAGAAACTTAGTAACATTATATCATATATAGTATTAAATTTTGTATGCAGTACTTAAAATAGTTTAGAAAATAATATAACCAGGCAACATGTATTACAAAATCGAAATATAAAGTTACCAAAGACCGCTTAGTTCCAGGGTTGCCTTCTCCTGACTGATATTTATAATACTAATCATAGTTTAAACATAAAATTTACTCAATATGCAAATTATCTAATTAGTATGCAAGATTGTTGGCATTTGTTCTGCAATTGCACTACAATACATTGTTATTGTAATATTGGTGAAAAAAAAAACATTTCATCAAATTTCAGTATAGTAATAATTTAGAATATCTTCATTCACAGACGTATTAAACCTATGAACCGTGAATGATTCTCAAAGTCTGTCAGAATGTAGATGGATATATAGGCTAAGAGTAAACCAGACTATTTTTTGCTTGAACTTATTAGCAAATAGTTAATGCAGGTTATTTTGTGTACGGTTAACTTTTTTACATCTATTTGGTAATGGGGCGGGATTGGGTGCATGTACGATTAGACGAGATTAGAACCATTTTTTTTAATTTGAAATTTCCACCTACATCTACATACAACATGGAGGTATGTTTATACCGGGGGTACCTCCATGATACAACCAATCAGGATAACAATATCTGAATTTAGACTTTTACTTGTACAGGTATTTGTAAACTTTTTGGATGATTTCAGTAATAAAAACTGTGTTGTTTCTATCCTGTATGTCTATAGACCGTAATTAGAATAGAGTTAGGCAAACGAAAGTTAGGCACGCTATAGTTAGGCAAAATTAACAGCCACCATTCACACCTCAAAGTGAAAGCAAACATGTGTCAGCAAATGTGTTACCAGAAATCAGACGAGTTTGCAGAGAAAAGTCGTTCATGTTATACGTTAATTGTTGTCAACTGTGTACAAAGTGCACAAGGTCATGTTTTTCTAGTCGGTTTGCAAACATTAATATCCTCGGGGCAAATCTGTTAAGCCCCAAAAAAGTCATAGCTTAATATACACTTGTATAGTGTAAATACTCTGTAGGGGCCGGAGTTAGGTTCTGTGAGACATCAAAATTAAAACTGTTGAATACCCGAAAAACCATTCAGTGCCCGCTGGGAACAAATTATCTGTTAATATATTAATATATTTGTCAATAATTATTTTAGTTGGGAAATGAAACTATATAACCACATTAAATTATAAAGTTTTTATACAATTTTAATGATTATCTAGATAGGACTGCGGGTTATTCACACGCAATGACGAAATGGAACAGCAGTGTTAAATACAGCATGATAATGTTTACAGACAGTAATGTATTGATTCTGACAAACCCGCATGTCATTGTTTGTTTGTTTGTCAAATATTGACTCACACATGAAGTGGGTAAAACACTGCTTCTGTGTAGGTCCTCCATATAAACCAACGTGATTTGCATAACAACAGAGTGACCACAGCAGGTGACCTGAGCAGAGGGAGCAAACTTGAACTCAGCTCACAGAAATGAACAATTTGTTTTTGAGAAGAACGGTGTAATTAGGTACACCAACACTAGAATTGTGATCAAATTTTTTTTCAGGCATGTTTTTTTTATATATTAAAATTTGGAATGATATAAATTGATTGTTAACCACTCTGGATTGCTCAAGGAAACAAAGATTCCATGGTTGCAGGAAGGGATACATTAAGGAAAACTTTGAGTCTGTGAAAACCTGTAGTGCAGGCAGCTATAAGCAATCTTAGACTGGTCGAATACCAATGACTTAGTATGTATTCCAAACACAAGTACTGGGTGAGCGCTATGACTGCAGAGTACAAAAATTAGTATTTTGCAATGTTCCAAATGTTCATGCATACACAGAAACTTATAATACACCTTTCCAGTAGGTTTAACAAAATTCAAACCTGCAAATTTTTGGGTCAAAAACCAGTTTAACAACAAACGCTGAACATACCAGTAAGTACAAAAGCTCAAGGGACAGTGCACATGACCAAGATGGTGCACATTTGCAGTTATGTATGTATGAGGAAATTGTGACAAGAATATTAAAACTAAGCTGTGGGAGGACAAATCGGATTTACCACTCCCTGGGTTTAACGTTACTTGTCAATCAAATTAACATTTCTCAGACATTACGCTATTATGAGTATGGTGTCTGCATATCGCTAACATGCGAAGAACTTCTCAAGATAGCTTTGCCGTATCCCTATCCATTTCTCAACTTTATTCAACATTGAGGAAAATTTTTTCTTGAAATTATTTTAAGCCATGAACAAAATATTATATAATATAAACTTATGAATGTAAAGTATAATAAACTTCTGCTTCATATCTCAAGGTTTTTATTGGAGACGAAAAAATGAGATTTTTACGTTGGAAATGGCCTGGCAATCACTAACCAAAATTTGATAGCAGTAAAAAAAGCGCCATCAGATTAACTTGTTCTTGATCCAACTGATGATTTGTCCGATATGAGAATTACTGACTGAGTAAACAATATACTTCCTAGAGTCAGCTGTTGATAAGAAGCCAGTATAATTAAGTATGAGGATGCCGAGGACAATCCCACAGAGGAGCTCAGACATACTGACTCCATAAAACAAATATAGGTTGAACAACTATGGCATGAACAATGCCCAAGTGATAAGGTATGTGGAAGAGTTGGAAAAAAATAAATAAATAAAGTGATGGGAATGAATAGTAGGGGGTAGGCACTTCAACTCCATACTACCCTGAAGCTTGATAATTCTATTTAATGGGTTAAAAATGTTGTGACATACGGGTAATGGTAATGGAAGTAAAACCAGAAGAGCAAAAAAAAAAGGATGAGCAATTATGTATGTAGAAACTGATTTTGTATTAGGGCAAAAAAAAAACCTTACGTTGCCCTCATGTCGGAAAATGGAAACATTGGGTGGGACGGTCTATCAGATTTCTATCAGAGAAATACAGATCAACCTGAGGTTCGAGGTCGCCACTTATCAAACAACGGTCCGGGATCCTTAATTTTTAGAGGAAACACTTTTTTACTGCTTAAAATGGTGAGTTTTTTATTTGTTTGGCCTATTTCAAAAAAAAAAAAAACGCGACCCAATATTTCATAATATTTTTCGGTCGGCCGCTGAGGGCAACAAGAAAATTTTTTTTTTGGCCTTACCGGTATGTTAAGAACACATATTTGTGGTTAAGCAAAAAATTTAAAATTTTTTTAATAACAAAATCTTTTAAATATTTTCCAGTGAATTAAAAAAAACAAATATGTAAAATTAAATTATTTCATCTCTGCACTTAAAGCTGCATAATCATATAGTGTCTCTGAAGAAATGTTTTACTATGACTTTTTTTTAGACGAATTTAACTGGATATTCATGAATATATTACCTTGCAAACTCCACTACAATTTCACTCACTGAGGAACTTCAGAATAAAATTTTTAAGAAAAATAGAAACACTGCAACTTTTAAAATTTTCACTGCTATTAATTTCTGTGATTTGATGGTATTTGTGAGAATCATTGCGACTCACTTAATGGTCTAAAATGAGTTGTTCACCAAATTGTGTGGTTTTACGAACAACAGTCTCTTGTAAAATTAAAGCCGTTTCTAGTACTTTTAAAACAAAAAAAGGTTCATAGTGAAAAGCTTTGGGTGAATTTGTTGAAATTTAACTTCATTCAATCCTACTCCAAAATTTATCTTTTGTAAATCATTAAAGTATACAAAGTGTCAATAGTAAGCTTATAGGCAAATGCAGCAATCAAATTTGAACTTGTTAGAGTATGTCCTCATCTTAATAAGACAGCTCACGGTCAAGTATTTCCACTTTACATCGTTTCTTTTTGAGAAAACTCTTGATTGAAACCAATGGATGAGCACTGAACAGGTCATGGCTTTAAAGATCAAACACAGTACCAGTCTGAAGATTAAATAGGGACGGAAATATAAAAGGGAAATCTGGTGAGGAATTCAGCAGCTTTTCTTTATAAAGTATAGAATGCTTTTGTCAACAGTAAAATTAAGCTGATGGCAAGTTGATGCGTGTGTGTGTGTTTAGGTTTTCAACTCGGGTTTATTTGATTTTCAATCTTGTCAGATTGACGGCTACTGCTAAACCCACACTGGTCACAAAGGAAATGGTTTGCAGAGGTTCAGTAGAAAAGGAGACTGGCTGACATAAATGGAGATCTTCATCCACAGAACATAGTGTAACTATTGTAACCTTGGCAGAGCTATACCATGTGATTCATGCAGCTATTATTGCTAGTGACTGACATACATAAAGAAGAAAGTCACTGTGACCCTTGTCTTCAGGATTTTAGTCAATAAGTTCACTACTACAAATTTGTGATATTGCCTGAATCACAAAATTTTTGGAAAAATCTGCCTCTTGTTAAATTAAAGATGGCTACATGTATTCAAATATGGTCGCCACAATGCTAGAACCAAAAATCGCCGTCATATTTCTATAACCAAAGATGGCTGTCATATTTCTATAACCAAAGATGGCCATCATATTTCTATAACCAAAGATGGCCGTCATATTTCTATAACCAAAGATGGTCGTCATATTTCAATAACCAAAGATAGCCGTCATATATCTATAACCAAAGATGGCCGTCATATTTCTATAACCAAAGATGGCCGTCATATTTCTATAACCAAAGATGGCCGTCATATTTCTATAACCAAAGATGGCCGTTATATTTCTATAACCAAAGATGGCTGTCATATTTCTATAACCAAAGATGGCCGTCATATTTCTATAACCAAAGATGGCCGTCATATTTCAATAACCAAAGATGGCCGTTATATTTCAATAACCAAAGATAGCCGTCATATTTCTATAACCAAAGATGGCCGTCATATTTCAATAACCAAAGATAGCCGTCATATTTCTATAACCAAAGATGGCCGTCATATTTCAATAACCAAAGATGGCCGTCATATATCTATAACCAAAGATGGCCGTCATATATCTATAACCAAAGATGGCCGTCATATTTCTATAACCAAAGATGGCCGTCATATTTCTATAACCAAAGATGGCCGTCATATTTCTATAACCAAAGATGGCCGTCATATTTCAATAACCAAAGATAGCCGTCATATATCTAGCCGTCATATTTCTATAACCAAAGATGGTCGTCATATTTCTATAACCAAAGATGGCCGTCATATTTCTATAACCAAAGATGGCCATCATATTTCTATAACCAAAGATAGCCGTCATATATCTATAACCAAAGATGGCCATCATATTTCTATAACCAAAGATGGCCGTCATATTTCAATAACCAAAGATAGCCGTCATATTTCTATAACCAAAGATGGACATCATATTTCAATAACCAAAGATAGCCATCATATTTCTATAAACAAAGATGGACATCATATTTTTATAACCAAAGATGGCCATCATATTTCTATAACCAAAGATGACCATCATATTTCTATAATCAAAGATGGCCGTCATATTTCTACATGTATTAATGTCATTGCAAGCACAGATGTTATTATTTTATAAAAGAGCAATATTACTTACCTCTAAGTCATTGAAGAAAAGATGTGTGTCTGCTAAATTAAAAATCATTTCTTCCATTCTCAGTCCTAGTGACACTGAGGATGGAGGATCCTACAGAGAAAGAAGACAAAAAAAAAGGATTTTAGTGATAATAACGGCTATGGTTGAAAATTTCACAGTATTCCCTTGGTTTCAAGAGTATCACAGCACAAGGTATCACAGCAGCACAGTGTATCGCAGCAGCAGAGTATTCTAGCAAAGAATACTGTCACAGCATTATGTACATTGTATCGTTGTATGGCTCACACCAATACACCAGCATGTACCAACAGACTAAGTTAGCACACAGTTTACATAGCACACTAGTAGTGTGAAATAGACGTATTATATCACCGTCATCGCACTCCGGTTTCAATGGAGCCCTGCCCTGCTTTCTTAAACAGAGAAAGTGACAACCCCAAACCAACATTGCAGCAGAAACATGAATGAACTGAATCCCAACAATCTAAACCCAACCAGTGTAATGTTACTGCCACAGTCATTAATCAACACCAAACAGAACAGTGCCGGTAGAACCATAGTACTCCTACCATAGTACTCGGCTGTGCGTGTCATAGGACACCAATACAGCAATTGAGAAAGTCAACACTCTGTACAGATAGTCTAAACGACCACAACTTGAGATTTCTAGTAGAGAAAGCCAATAAAACACTACCTATACTAAGATGAGGTTGATCTTAAATAAATAATAAAAGCATTCTGAAAAGTCTTATATTTATGTTATCAATAAAATTTTAATTACTACCTTAAATTACTACCAAATCATTAATCTTTCAAAACTTATCCATAAATACTATAGAAGTGTTTACAAATCAGCGAGAGCTTCAAAAATAATTTAAAAGTAAACCAAAAAATTTATTTTGTTAGAACCTAATGAATTTTTCAACATCCCTCAAATTCTGTTTGTGAGTATGTACTTCTATTAACAGACACCATGTGATTAGTTGTATGTAGCCGGCACACATCAATATGACATGTAATTCCACACACACACGTTGTATTAAAATATTTATTCCATTGCTAGAAATCATTAAAACCAAGGGCATATGTAGGTTAATGTTATTGTATCATGCACATCACCCGGTTCCAATTTAACCATTATCTTGTGCTACAATCGGTAACACTGAAAACCAGCTGGGCACCATTTTTTTTCCCACTCCTTTTCGCATGCATACCACATACAGAGGAAAGGGTTAACATACCTTACACTCAGGGTCAGCGGTGAAGTGGGCCAGCATGCTATGAATTTTTGCTGAGTACAATCGCTGGCATGATTATTTATTTAATAGAGGGAGTTTCAGCCATTGGGTTTTTCTGAAAGTCGTGACCAGCGTTGGCTTTGAATAGAAGTTGTGTTACCAGCACCAAACAGTATAGGAGCCGAACAGATGCAATAATAAAAACTTACAGAAGTCTTCAAAGCAGTTTTATTCCATTACAACTGATAAATAACTGAATTTGTTTGATAACAAGGGCATGACTGTCCAGGAAGAGTTTTGGTAAAAAAAAAGTACTATCGGTATTTTAATTATGCTTTAAAATGTTGGTTCACAATTGTTATTAAAGTATGTAAGACTGAATTTAGAGAATATAACAGAAGACTAGCAAATAATTTCTTCAACAATTTGGTGTGTGAACACATTTGACATTAGAGTTAGGTTATAATTGTCAATGCTAGTTGGCAGAAGAATCAGTAGTTGAAGTTTCAATAAAAATGTGAACAACTATAGATCGATATTTTTTTTAGTGTTACCCATGATTTAAACCAACCACTAATTATTACCACTGACCATATACTATTAACAACCAGCCATTACTACTGACCAGCCATTAAAACAACTACCACCTACCAGCCATTAATATCGACCAACAAACACCAAACAGTACCACCTACTAATCACCACCAACTACTCCGTCTTAATAACGTTATATGCCTCCGATCTAAAATAGTCTTAAACATTTTCAACTTCACCAAGGGTTCTAATATCTGGAATCAGGACACTACACAACATTTTGAAGCCCAGCAAATCAATGATTTTTGAGAATGAGATGTGACTTTTAATCACATACATGTGCCTCGCTTCCCTATATTTTAAAATCAATTTTTGAGTATGTCCCAGCATTGACAATGCTTCGAAATTTTTACACTATCTAGCCAAGACTGTCTGGGTAAGTTAAAGCCAAAAAAAATTGTTTTCACTCTAAGTGCCCACGAACCTGCATTTATACCTTAATCTTTTCAAAAAATAATAATAGAAGATTCTTTGAACTTTAGACATCTGGAGGATGATATATGCATTTAAGTGACATGATTTTATCAGATAATTTACTTTACAATTGCTAAACGCAATGATGAATAAAGTGGCAGATAACTTGTTTTACAAGAAAGACACAATGAATGACTGCAATGGCTGCCAAGATCTCACCGAGAGTGAGAGAGACACAGGACCATTTTTTGCACTCAAATAGTGCCCTATCCCCTCCCACTATCAAGTCCACACCACTATGGTAACATAAAACAGCAGACGCGATGACGGGAATATTTGAAGGTTAAAATTAAAACTTGTAGGTTTCCAGCTCTCAATGAGATTTCGGCGGCCATTTCTACCTAAGGTCTATTCATTATTCATTCCAAATACAAAGGAATACGAATAAATTTTGTTAATATTACAATAAGTTTAATATAATCAAATCTAATTTTTTTTTTCCCAATACTAATAAGCTCATATTGACTATCACCAAGATGGAAAGTAGGTGTATATTGCCACAGTTGAAGCTTTATCTGCAAAAGGCTGCCAAAAAAGGTTTTATGTATGTAGGAAAAGGAAAATTACGTAACTAAGACAGTTTTGCTTTTAAGATGGTTGCTGAGGAAAATTATATTTCTAAGATAGTTGCCAAGGAAGAATATTATGAATACACGCTGGTGGCTGGCAATGAAGTAACATGTCACATGACATCATGTAAAATCTATTTTCATCTCAATACTTATTCTTTTTAATCAAATTATGTTATTTTTTTACAGTCATGGCCGAATTTTCGTGGCTCAGAGGCAATGTTATATAAAGAAAATATGTTCATTAACAGAGAGAGAGATGGATTATTTACACACCCAATGTACTAGTCTTGTTTATTTTAATCAATAATGAAGGCCCTCTAAGAGACAGAGAAATTCATACAAGACTCCTGAGTCTTGTGCACATTCTTAAGAACAACCTGTTGTAATGATTCATAATATCAGAAAAATCTACATGATAATAAAACTCCTTAAGTGTGCTAAAATTGATGTGAAGTCCCCTAAGTTAGCGGGACGTCAGAGGAGTATATCAAGGTTTGTGACCCATGCGCTTCATTTACATATAGACATGATACATTGTAGCATAGTTTTCATATTTCGCACAGTGTGTTCCAAATCATCAAAGCATAGAGTCCAGCTCCCCCTCTGGGCTCCCAGAGAGAACAAAACACCAACAACACATGTCTGACATTAACCCAATCCAGGACCCCCAGACTAGACAATGACTGTCAGCTGTCAGGATACCACTTCATGCTATAGGTGCTTTTAATGAAAGCTATTAATATAAGGTACAGTTTAATTTGGTTTTTTAAAATACAGATAATTAGAAACCATTGGTGAGATTAAAACTGGTCAAACAGTCGACCCTTAGGAGTGTGCCAGTGATTATTTTTGAATGGCAAAATATGCCGACTATGTGTAATGATTTGTACTCTTAATTATCGGCGGCTGATGGCTATCAATACAAAGCCGTTCCCAACAATTCCAACCACTTGAAATATAATTTGTGGCGTGATCTTTCATATCAGGTTTGATACAGAAGAGAAACAAATGCAGTCTTCATCAAACTTGTACGAATCAGGCTTCACTTTATTAGGAAATGGAAAATCAGATCAACAACTACAATTTTGAGAAAATAGTTGCATATTAATGACTAGTAATGCACATGTACCTCCATACCAGAACCAGGACTAGTCCAGTACATCTATACCAGTACCAGGACTAGTCCAGTATCTCTATACCAGTACCAGGACTAGTCCAGTACCTCTATACCAGTACCAGGACTAGTCCAGTATCTCTATACCAGTACCAGGACTAGTCCAGTACCTCTATACCAGTACCAGGACTAGTCCAGTACCTCTATACCAGTACCAGGACTAGTCCAGTATCTCTATACCAGTACCAGGACTAGTCCAGTACCTCTATACCAGTACCAGGACTAGTCCAGTATCTCTATACCAGTACCAGGACTAGTCCAGTACCTCTATGCCAGAACCAGGACTAGTCCAGTATCTCTATACCAGTACCAGGACTAGTCCAGTACCTCTATACCAGTACCAGGACTAGTCTAGTATCTCTATACCAGTACCAGGACTAGTCCAGTACCTCTATGCCAGAACCAGGACTAGTCCAGTATCTCTATACCAGTACCAGGACTAGTCCAGTACCTTTATACCAGTACCAGGACTAGTCCAGTATCTCTATACCAGTACCAGGACTAGTCCAGTACCTCTATACCAGTACCAGGACTAGTCCAGTATCTCTATACCAGTACCAGGACTAGTCCAGTACCTCTATACCAGTACCAGGACTAGTCAGTATCTCTATACCAGTACCA